GGCACTGTGAGCCCTATTACCACCCTAAGACGGCATCCCACCGCATCTCTATCCTTACCCCGTAAAGCCAGCAGGGCACGCAGTTGGGACGGCCCCGAGAAATGCCCATCTCAGTCAGAACTGCCAGGCAAAGTCAGCACGAAGGCAGCAGAACCGGGAACGGAGCCGCAGCGCTTCGGAAGCGGCTTAACTCGTTTGCTGAGATTTGCTCTGTTCGGCTCCCTCCTGCAGCTACGTGCCACGACAGGCAGTTGGGAAAAAGGATCTCTGCAGAAAAATGTGTGTTTCACCCCCCCCACAGATGAGAGCTAAAGAGCCTCCAAAGAGTACAGCGTTGGGAAATGAAGCAGAGGAGATCATGCTCCTCTACAGCAGGAGTGGGAGATGAGAAGGCCAAAGGTTTCCAGGTATCCATAAGCCAGAAGGGCAGCAGGAGCTCATTCCCCCCTCGGTGGTGCTGTGTGATCCCTGTGCCTGTCCCTCACCCACAGCCTTTGGCTCCATGTCAGAGCCCAGCAGGGACAGGAGGGAAGAGCCAAACCCTGCTCAGTTTCTTTCTGTCCATCCAAAGGTATGATTTCTTTGCTAGGTGCACACAAGCTGCTTTTCCCTTCCCACCCATCACCTTCTAATTGTCACTACATCATCTGATCCTGCCCGGCTGTCTAAAAAAGCAACACCCTGCATAGTACAGGGGCCGCTTTGTCAGCGACTGTGAACTCATCTCCATCCAGCACTGGGACAGATCGAACAAACTGAAGCAGTATTTTATTGCCGAAGCACAGAACATGAGGATAAACAAGCACCAAAGTGCTACTGATCATTACAACCAGATGGGAGCCCATTTACTGCCTCCAACAGCGAGGTGCCACCGCTGTGCTGCCGAATCCCCATTGAAATAGGAAACCCAAGGCAACATCTGGGAGGTGAGCCTACACGTAGCCCTGGAATTTGGGGCTGGATTGAGCTGTGTTGTCCTTCCACAACCCCGGGGACAGCCAACGAGTCCCACTTGCTCCAGCACAGTTGCTTCTGTACGGTTGTGCCCGAGTTAAACAGCCCAGTAGCACAGCCAGCCTGCCCAGTTCCAGTGTACAGGGAATTGGGATGGGGAGAATCACAGCCCCGTTGCCCACAGCACTGCATTTCAACAGGATTTTTCTCAACCCGCATCAGAGAACCACTACAAGTTCTGGTCACCCCTGCACATTTCAGGGTGGATCACCTAAAGCAGCCCAAGTCTTACCTTATTTCCTCACAGTCTGCAAGAGAAGCTAAGGACTGTGATGGGAAGAAGCCAGGGGTTGTTCTCTCTCCTTTTTAATAAACGTGCCTACTACAGATGAATGCACATCCAGCTTCTGCCCAAAGCACAGTGAGAGCATTCTCATAGTCTGGGGAGCACTGGAAATTGGCCTTCAGAAATAGCTCAGCTCAGAGCTCAGCCTCCCATCTGGACTGGGCTTTGCAACTTTGCCCCCATCCTCCTGCAGCCCCCAGGCAGCCACAGCCAGGCACCGTGTGGGGCTGCAGGATGCAGGTAGCCGGGGAGATGCAACGGGGAGGAGATGCAAATGGTGCAGGAGACTGCTGGAAAAGCAGAGACAGACGGATGTTTTTACACTTCAAAGGCAACAGGGCCCTGTGAGGCTTTCAGGAATATGCACAGATCGATAGACTCCTTTTAAACCCGGAGCACATTTGCTCAAGTGTGAGGCAATTAGTCCCCGAGGATGCAGGCAGGGCAGGCCCATTAACAGACATACGGGCAGGATGAAGCGAATGTAGGAAACAGTCGGGCTGGAGGCTCCCCTTGGCTTCACCCCCGGAGCAGCAGCCAAAGCAGCTGCGTGTGGGCAGGAGGGCCACTCTTCTGCAGGGCGCTGCCTCTGCCCTATAACCTCGGAGGGTAGAAGTGTGTCTGCAGGGCTGGAGCACAGCCCGGGCACTGGGGCTCCAGGCTTGTTTCTTTTAGTGACACTACAGTCATTCATCCTGCCCCTAAGGGCTGTATGGCAGGCACATCAGTAGCACTCAGCACAGCGTTGAGAGTACCCCTATGGCTGTGGATGCCTCTGCTGCTCAGCTGCCTGTTGTTCTTACTCCCTTGAGCCTTACAGCTGGGGATGCCTCAAAGTGCAGACTAACATATACTGAGTCTGCATCAGTTCTCATTCCACCCTCACTTGAATGCTGCTGGCTGTCTTAGCTACCCTGAAACCTCACCCTCCACAGAGCCCCTTCCAGATGGGGAGGCAGAGCCAAAGCCAGACTGCAGAGTGCTCCCTGAGCTGCTACAGGGCCCACAGCTCAGCACTGCAGGAGCAGCAGTACCAGCACACAGGGGACACGGACAGCAGACCTGAGCCATGCCCTATATCCAGCTGAGTGGCTGTGGTGTGCCTCCCTGTGCTACTAGCAGCCCTCTCTGGTTCTCCTTTCCAGATGCACAAAGTTTTCCCTCTTCAGTAAAAGTCAGAGAGAAAGATATACAAATCTCAGCACGCCCCCAAAGAGCTGTAGGGGATGGAGATTAAACCCATCCATTACACTCACCGAGCAGGGCACCGTCTGGGCAGGAATGCTGCAGTCATACACCTGCACATACAAGGAAAAAAAGAGGAGTATTACAGAAGTGTCAGAGGCAATTCAGCACCATACAGCAAAGTGCCATAAAACTCACATCACTTGGAAAAACAAAAAAGGAACAACACTAAATCAAGCAGAGCAGCACACGTGGTGACTGGCTGCTTGTCATGGCTGCAGGGCCTCTTGTTACCACTGCATTAAAGAACTGCTTCACACTTGTTTAAGGTGTTGTCTAAAGCTGCTGCTCAGGCCCAGAGCTCAATACTACAGCACTGGTTCTGGGCAGTGCGCTCTGCATGCTGCAAGGAGCACGGGTTGTGGAGGAGAAATACTTTCCAGCTTGCTTAGCATTCTGCTGGCAGCTTACAAGCTGCTGCTACCCATGCCTGACTTTCTCTCGCTGGCTGTAACCCCAAGAAACCACACTTATATCTCATTACAGCTCTACAAAGCACAGCAGCTAAACCAGCTTACCTGGAGCTGTAGGAGGAGTCTGGCCAGGAGCACACCTGCTGGAAAACCAAGGGCTGAGCCCTGGAGAAAAAGCAGAAACAAGCACAACAAACAGCAGCAAAACCATTGCTCTGAATACTACAGGAGCCCAGACAGCCTCAGGGCAGGCTGTGGAGCAAACACCACCCAGTGCAGAGGGGGAAAGTTCAGCAGAACACCCACTCCTCGTCCTTCAGGGAAAACCCCATTATGTTCCTTTCTGCTGCACGGTTTGGGTGAGGGCAGGATGCTAAGAGCAGACACCTGCACCCTGTGCACCTGGAGGCATCAGCATCAGCACTACTGCAGCTGTGGGCACAGGGAGGTGGTGGGCTGTGTGCTGGTACAGCTTTGCACGGTGGGAGATGGCTGCTGTTTGTTGTTGTTGCTGTTGTCAGCCAAATGCTGCACTCCCCCCTGCTAGGAGGCTCCATATGGGACCCCAACCCGGTGTTTGCGAATTAAGTGGCTTTTAAGTTCTGTAATAAAAAACCATTTGACTCAAAGAATGTTGTTGTTGCTGAAAAGGGGTGGATGCTGCTTGCTCGGCCTCTTTTAAGGTGACCCAGGGTAGGGGTGAAAGCAGGAAACGCATGGCAGGACACTCACAGAGGATTCAGTGATGGACACTGCAGCTCCTTCTGCACGGCTCGGGGCTGCCTGAATGCATGGCCCACAGCCAGGTGAGGGGGAACTGCTCTACTGTGAAGACCCATGGTGTCTTTTGAGCAGGCACGGTGTGGGTTATGGGGCAGCAGCATCACAGTGACCCTCCTGAGCCTGCAGCTGCCACCAGGCAATGCCTGTCTATGGTAGGAAAATGGCAGCAAGAAAACATCTTTCTGCCATTCCTACCTGCACTGAAGCAGCCTCAAACAAGGCTTAAGGTTGCACAAACCAGTAGGACAATGCAATGTAAATCAGGATCTTTATTTCCCATAGGAAATTTACCTAGATCCCATTTAGAGTCCATTTGTTCTCATCCTTATGTAACTCCTCTGCAGAAGAGGAGTAAAAATGTATAGAAAATAAAGTATTTGCAGCAAAGAATTAGTACAAGAGACTGAGTCATATCTAGCAATGCAAGCAGGCAACCTGGGGCTCTCCGAATACACTGAGAGAACAAAGAACACTGAGATCAACAGCATGTGTCATGTAGGAACTGGCCCCAGGTAACAGGATTGAAGTGGAGCCAGTAGTGTGCTTGAAAGAGATGCACAAAAAACCACACTTTCGAGTTTATTTTATTGCTCTTAATGGCCTGCCTTCCGCACGTCTCATTTCCTTTTATTGAAGCTGTCAGAGACGCATTACATTATCTCACATGCGTGCAAAAACAGTATTTCAGTCGAGCTCATACAGATTTTAAATGCCACAGCTGAAGAAAACAAGACAGGGGAAGCTGCAAAGGGAGGCGGCACCAACAGAGAGCACACAGCTACAGGCAACGTGTGTCAGGGCTTCAGCAAACAGCAGAGCTGCAGCCTCTAACCAGAGACAGAAGAGTGGAAGCAAAGGTACTTGGCTAATAAGGTGGGTGATTCACGGAAGCAGGGCGAGGAGTCCTGCTGCAACAGCAGGCAGTAATTAACAGCAATCCTATGCACAAGGCTGAGGCTCACGCTGCACAGCCAAACCAGCCCCACCAACTGCAGCTCTCCCAAAGCCATGCTGACGTTCTGATACAGCACCTCGCTATCCTTCTGGCACCCGGGTTTCCCTGTGCTGCCTGTTCTCTTCAGTTAGCCATGCTCACTATCAGCCTATGACAGAAGGAAATATAATTTTGCTCTCCAAAGACAAAGAAGCAGAGCTAACCAACCAGCCAGGGGGTGTTAGTTCAGGTTTTCTTGGCAGTGATCATTGTGGGGAACCTCACTGACCACCTCTGCTCACTCAGCTGCTCTGCACGCATCATCACTGCAGTACAGACCAATTAGCAATACTCTACTTAAATAAGGAAGCAGTCACTGTAGCTGAGTTTCATAAACGTGCAGGGCTACTTTTCAAAGTCATTTTAACAGTAATAAACACAGTTCCACACCGTATGCTGTGCAGGGCTGGCACCCAGGCAGAGCAGCATGCACCTGCACACCACTCCTGATGCACCAGCAGTCACAAAGCTGCCCTGCTCTGCTCACACACACTGCTGCACAGTGCATGCAGAGAACGCCATCTGGCACACACACCTCACTGCCTGCTGATGGCTGTGGACTACAGAGCAGTTTATTTGAAGTGTTACAAGAAAATGTTCTCTGCATAGCAGCGTGGAACACTTCTGTCCTCCCTCAGAAGCAAAAGGCCTATCTCAAAAAGGAGCACACAGCCAGGGCGACTTGGCAGGCAGGGACACTATCCCTTTCTAACACTCTCTGCCACACAGGGCCATGGGCTGCTCACTGACAGCACAGCTCCTCCAGGACAGGGGACCACAGCAGTAACAAAGGTCAAACTGTTCTGACAGTGGAAGTGACACTGAAGCAGATCCTTGAGCCTGCAAGAAGATGGCACTGAGAAGCCAGGAGGCACCCAGCACTGCATCAGGGAGCAGTGCAGCATGTGGCTCGGTGCCTGTGGTGTTCATTATTTTAAAGTATGTGGCTGATGAATGACACAAGACTGGTCAGAAGCATCTATAGGCAAAGCTTTCGTAGCACAGCAACAACAGCTATAAATTATATTCCTCACTGGTGGCTGGGGGTGGAAGAAGTAGTTCACAGTGAAAGATTTCTTTCCCTTTAAAAGACAGAGGCTGGAGTGTCAAAGCCAGCACTGCTATTCCTGGCAAGCACAGGCCTTTGGAGAGCCCTGGAGCAGCCCTGAATTCTGTGAACAATGTCCCTCCACCACCAGCAGAAAGAAAAGTGTTTCACTAACCTCGAATCTAGGGAAGATGGGAGAGGGGTGGGCATGAGGGACACAGACACAACACAGAGCCTTGCTGCTGGTTCTCGTGCAGAAGACAAGCTCTTCCCTGCCTGCATGATCCACAGCCACATGTACCACTGCATGTTTTGCTGTCATATGCTCCTGGAAAAGAAGGCAAGACTTTAGTTTGACTATACTAAGTGATGAACCCGCTCAAGGGGTCACTGGGATTGCTTTTTTGGCTCATTCTTGCAAAAATCCCCTACAGCTTCTTGGCCTGGCTTACTGAAACTCCTCAGCCCCTATCTCCTTGCACACATGTCCTGGGAAGAAGGGATTTTGGAAACTGCCAAATGCAAGCACCTGGGACAGAGGTCGACAGCTCTTTCACTGCCGCTCTCACAGTTCCTGAGGTTTCCTATTCCTGCTGGAGAAAAAGCACTGCAGAACACACACAGATTGAGCCAGACGTGCCCTGACACAGCTGGGACTGCTAGCAGTATAGCTGCTGCTTGTGAAGTACCGTGAGGGTTGTTGTGCAAGGAGACAAGGAAGTGAAGGCATCCCGTGCCACCATCTGCAGCAATGCCTCTTTGCCTTCTATAAACAAGGCTTCAAGGTTAACACCCCAGAACAAATTTGTTCTCATTTACAATTTTCTTTCAGTCTTTTCATTGGGAAGGATCCTCCCTGCTCACCAGCAGGCATAGGGGAACAGTGGGTACTGGCTCCACTCTGCCATGGTCCCGTGGGCATGTCCCGAAGCCCCTTGTGTGTTGTAATCTGTGGAGAAGGCTGAGTAGCTCATCGCCCTGTACTGGCTGTGGGGTGGCACCATCCACTGCCCAAGGCCTTGCTCAGTGCCATAAGGACTGTACACGGGCGCTCGAGCTCCAGGTTTCCCCACTGAGTCCAGAGCCATGTTCACCACTCCGGTGTAGTCCTGGGGAGGGGGCAGAGGTGGGGGCAGTGGAGGCAGGTTGGTGAAGCCCTCTGGGAGCTGTTTGGAATCGTGCTCAGGCACTGAGGCGAGATCCAAGGGGTGGCACCTCGCTCGGAAGTCGTTCAAGGCGGCGACGTCGCGGCTGGGGAGCTGCTGGCTGTCCCCAGCTTCGTGGAACCTGTTCCCCATGGCAGAGAGATCAGCAAGTCAAACCCAGCGCAGCAGAAAACCACTGAAAACACACACAGATCCCCGGGGAAAGAGCTTGCCCTCTTCCCCTGCCATTTCAAACACCCGCTTTCCATTCAAAACAAGCACACCTTACAAAGACAACCTAGCTCTTTGTATTCCCTGCAAGGGCCTTGTACCTAGAAGACTTGGCCTGGGGTGGGAATTTACAGTGTGTCAGCTATTTCACACTCATTCATCATGTGAAGATGCTTGCAGGAAAGCCAGGTGAGCCATCTGGTACTCCAATGGAATTACACACATATTGAAAAGGGTTCTCCAACTTCACGTGTTGGCTTATGGCACGTTAACTCTCCCATATCTACAGCTTTGTCTTACTGTAAAAATGGGTTTTAGTCCAAGTCCTGCTCACTCTGAAAAATTTAGTGCCAAAAGAAGGTAAGCCCACTCACTCCAACTCAGGAAGGAAGTTCTCCACTGAAGTCCTCCACTCCCCCGAAGGACAGGCAAGTTCTGTTACATGGAGTTGGGTAGGAAAGCATTTCAGCATAGGGAAATAAAGAGCACTACTAAAACATGAATATGCTCAGAATGCACGTAAAACAGAAAGGCTTTGTTACAGAGACATCTCCATACTGATCTAGCACCTATCACAAAAGTGTGGCATCAACAGAAAAACAGCCTTCTCACTCACACTGGCTATTTTTCCTTAGGAAATAACCTATAAAAGAGGAGGAATCTCATCAGTTAAAGAGTGGCTTTATGACAAGAGCACCAGGAGACAGGACTCACCGGTATGTCTGGTAGGATGGTGTGGGCACTTGCTGCTCCCTGGCTGGACCCTCCCTCTGTTCAGCTGGCACTGGTGATGCTGCAGGAAAGGCATGGCTGCTGTTCTGCTCTGAGATCCAGAAGGGATATCCACTGCTGACCACGATGGGGTTACTCTCTTCCTTCACATCCACATTCTCATCTTTCTCAAAATCTGACTCACAGTAGGGAAAGAAAGAACAGAAAAAAAGTGAGAATGGGGAAGAGAGAGTGGGAGCTCACAGTGTTCTATTAGCAGCTGAATTAGCTGCAGGATGGGAGAAGGAAACACACCATTACCTCTTCTGCAGCCACACTGCCTTAAAGGACTTAAAGAACTAGCCCTATGCTGCTTCTTTCTGCTCTTACACTGTGGTTTTCAGCTCTGCCCCATTCCCTCACCCTAGCAAGGAATGATCAAGCTTAAAGATAACCTAGCAGAAAGAGCAAAGATTATTTTTAAATGAGATCAGTTCCCTATCTGCATCACAACACAGCTGCACAAGCACCAGGGTTGACACAACTGCACAGACAAGAACCAAGGCAGACAGGCAGAAGAAAGCCATGGATGACACTGCAAGATGGTGTCACTGTTGAAGAGAAAACATTACGAGGGCACAGCCCTCAATCACATGCAATCACAAAGCAAGGCTGGAGCAGCGGAGCTGGGGAGGAGTCACTAATGACAGGAGATGTGAGCAGGCTCCTGTGGACCATATGCAGAGACTTAATCCTGAGACAGACAAACTGAATGCACGTGTGGAGACTGCAGGCAGAAATTAAGAGAGGCAAAGGCCTCACAGAGGGTTCCCATCATCATTTGTTGGCTCATTCTCCTAAAAGCTGTCTCCCTGAATTAGGGAGTCAGCACCACTTTCCAGCTTTGCAAAGATGTATGCAGCAGCCTTTAGGGACTCTGCCCAAACCACTCTCCCCAGTGAGGAACATCAGAGGTATGCCACTGCTTCTTATCCCCCCTGTGGCTTAGGCACAGTTTGTGACTGACTCTGGGTTTGTTCTTGTTAAAATTACCACGTTCCTCAGCACCAGACTCCTTTTCCTCTGGGAGTTTTCTCTTCTGGCCCTTGGCTGGACTTGGCTTCTGGGATTTGGCTCGTCCTTCCCTGGGAAAGAAACAGTGCACAGGACTAGGTTGTAAGTTAGCTTTCTACCTAGATAAGTATGCAAGGGATGCAGGACAAAGGCCTGGGAAGACAAAAGGTGGGATGAACAGCTCTGATGTTCTGCATGTTACACCATCTTGCAAACCAACACGACTGGTCCACAGGGAATAATGTGTACCAGTGGAATCGTGGAGTTAACCAAAGCTGCATGTGCTCCCAGGAGAGCTCTCACCCCATAGAATACAGGGGATAAGTTGGAAAGGGAGTTGCTGCCCCTTTCTTGCTTATACAAAAGTCAAAAATAGCATGGAAATATCAGCTGTGGAGCTTTCAGCACAGTTTGTAAGCATACTCCAAAGCTGGATGCACATTCTGTACATACAGGCATACATACGGTGGGCATTTTGCTTGAAAGCAGCCTTTTTCCAAAGTGGACAGTAACACTAAGCTTAGTCAGAAACAGTCCTGTTGAGAGCAGAAAGAACATCCCTGACATTTTCAAAAAGAATCACTTCTGGCTTTTTTCATCAGGAAATAAGATTTTCTTCTCATGCACGCAAAACAAAATCTCAGATATTTTTACACCATTTTCTGGTTGGAAAACTCTTTGTTACCAGTCTACAGGTTTCCTTCAGGGTTATTTCTTCCAGCATTAATTAGTGGCTGCCCTCAGAGCAGACAGATCATCTCACCATCTCATCTCATCTTGATGGCATCCAACCTCCATCCCACAGACAAAATTTCCTGTTGGTAGAGACACCTTTCCACATAAGAGGAAAGGAGATGTGAGAGTCTTCCAATGTGAGAATTAAGCTGATCTCACAGGGACAGAAGGATCTACTGTGGTCTCTCTTTATCACTGCTATTAATGTATCAGATTGCAATCTAGACCCAATTTGCAATGGAATGCAGGTCTCAAATCTGTCACATCTCTCATATTTCTGTAGGAAATTCTGTTTCCTCCTGTTCCCCAAGTCTCTGGGGGGGGTTGCTACACAGCATCACTCCCACATACAAATAAATGCAATGTGCAAAGCAAAATGCTCTGCAGAGCTAGCTGCTCTATTTTGCTGCATGGACTTGGATATAATTCAGATAAACTCATGTTATACATAAGTTGAGATGAAAAAACAGTTTACCTTCGAGTGTTCTTCCCATGCTCCCGGAAACCTTTAGCAAATGGATTGTTGTCAATCTTCAGCTTTGTGATCTTAAAATAAAAGACCAGGATTCAGTTCTGGTTGGGATCTTCATTATTTCAAGATCTTCATCTTGGTATTTACTACAACAGCTTTTTCAGGGGGCTGGAGGATGCCCCTGGCATAGTATCTGAGCTCTCCCAGCAGTTCCTTCTATGAGCGAGTTGCAGAGAGAATTGACTTTCCCAGGGTCAGTGGGAATTTGGATGGGATTCACGTAACTAGAGAAATACAAAGGGTGAATACCTAATATCTGGACTTTTGTCTGTACTTTTTGCTACCTTTGGGATTCTGTTAGTCACTGACAGTGCACTTAATGCAATTAATATGCACAATTAATGCCATCCTTCACTAGACGTTTTCTGCAAGAACCATGTTTTGCCTATTTTTCTTGCTTTATCCATCACAGACACCCAAGTTAATTTGCTCTGGAGGAGACACCTTCCTATGCAAGATTTCTAAGGACAAAGTACTTAGCAATGCTTTGGACTCGCACGCTACCTGCTCATTCTGGTAGGCTGTAACAGAAGTGAAGACAGTCTCAGGGAAGCTGAAGACTTGAAAGATGCTCCAGCGAACACTGAAGAGGTCGTCTGCCTGCACAATGTGGAAGCGAGGCTTGTAACGGTGCATGGAGTGGAGGATGATCTGGCACAGAGACAAAGGCAAAGGTTTCCATGTGCAACTGCTGCTAACACGCTGTGCAAAGTTATACAGACAGCACGGGTTAGCACCTTCCCTAGCAGGCAGGTAGGAGGGCTGGACGGAGGAAGGAAGAGAGGGCACGTGGATATCTTTTTAATTTCCACATGATCTGATGTTTCACACTTATTTCACTTTACACCGACCTGCAATGAATTCCAAGAAAGCGTGGCACAAAGGCCAGCAACAACCTACATGCCCATGTTGATCCAGAGTGTTGTTGGTGAGCTTCAGTTTCTGGAAAGAGACAGGTTCCTTCATCCAGTGGCTGCCAGGAGCTGGGGAATCCGGGTGGACGTAGGTGCGACAAGGGAGCTGGGGCTCTGCTTTTCCAGCAACTTCCCACTGATCTTTATTCCACTGTGAAGAGAAAGATGGAAAGCTAGAGCTTAAAAAAATGACTTCTTTTAAATAGCCCTGGTAACTCTGCTTCTCTGTCTGATGTGGAGGATTCCTCTGAGGCATGCAATCCTAACAAGCAGCAGATTATCTCTTGAGAGCCACGATTGTTTTACCAAAACAGCTCCAAGCTTGGGCCTCATTTTTCCTCCCTTTCTCCCAGTGGCCATCAAAGAAGTCTGACATTAATCATGATCAAAACTGTACCAGTTACAACGGAGATCAGTTACCTTTTCAGCTGCTCCCCAAGCAAAAGTGACAAATAGCTCCAGAGAGGCAGAAAATCCACCAATTACTTCTGAATGTCGTCCAAAGACTATTTATTTATCAGCCTGGCCACTGAAGCATAAAGATTAATCTATTTCAAACAAAAATGGAATTAAAGCATAACTTTTATCATCTAAAGTGCTTACCTTGTACCTGAAGTTGTCCACAGGCACAAAATCCACCAGCATGAGGTACTTGGCATATGGGATTAAGCCAGAGACTTTGATTTTGCATTGTGGAAACATTCGTCTGAAGGAGAAATGAATGTAAGAATTTCTGTACTTAGCAAATGCTGTTTAATGACCTACAGAAGCAGCAGGTCATGTTTACTCACTGCTGCACAAAGTTCTGGTAGTGGTATTTGTACAGGCCAGCTACCAAATATTTTTACAATCTCATTGATGTATTGATTATCCAGTCCCATGGGTTTAGGTGGAATAGGCACTAACATGGTAGCAGTCTTTAATGGCCTGACATTGTTATTGCTTTTGTGCCTCCAATTCCTGCATTGCAGCAGTGGAAAACTTAAAGAAAATAAGTGGAATTTGCATGCAGCTGCTTCATGCAGCTACCACAGACCGGGAGCACAGATTAAAGCATTTTCTAGTGTGGGCTGTGCACACCTAGGAGCACATCTTGCTTTCCATTCCAGCATTCCCCACTGCCACTTTCATCTTCTGACTCTGCAGAAAAGCCTCAACACTCTCTTCCTACCAGCAGGATTACTTTAGCTCCCAGCAGCTTTGACACAAAACGTCCCTATTTTGTATTCTTTCACCACAAGCTCCAACATGACTCAGACTTAGAAAAGCCTGCTTAGCATTATATGCCATATTTTCATCTGCAAATGCAGAATCAACACCAGGTATTGACTGCTCCTATGCTGCTGCCTGTGACCGAGGCAAAGGAAGCCCAGGACACTTCCCAGAGCAACAGCACAGCAACAGGAAGAACATCAGTGTTAAGTACTGAGATAAGAGCAGAGGAGATTTCTCAGCACATCAGCCCCGCGATGACCTTTTGCACTTTGCAGTTTGGATCTCCAGCACAGCCTGAAAATGTGCCAGAGGCAGGGAGATGCAAACAACTGGCTACAAGCCTGAGGGTCACCAAGTGAAATAAGAGTGCTCAGAGTTTTGCAAACAGATTAGAAGGGAGCGGCGTGGGCAGCTGTCCTGGTCCCCTCACCTGCCAGATTTGGTGATGATCATCTCTGTCCCTATCTGATGAAACTTCATCCAGAGACCCATGTCCTCCAGGGTGACCGTGATGGAGCTCTGCGGGTAGGGCTCCAGGCTGGGGGATGCAAGTGCTTCACATGGTGCTTTAATGTCTACCAGGGAGAGAGAAAACAGGGACTTCAGATGGGCAGGAAGGCACCAGCACAGAACAGCTTCTCCTGCTCACCCATTGGGCTCTAGGAAGCAGCACTCAAGTCGGCCTTCCCAGTTCCAGTACCCAATGCTACCAAATTCCACACGTTGCTGTAACAGATGGGCTCTGGCCATATGCTCCTATGGGACTTGTCAGCCCCAAATCACCGCAGCGTACAGCGCTGGTTCAGCTCAGGTAAGTGAATGTTGTGATTTCACCCAGGAAGCATGCCAAGAACCAGTGCCACGACAATTCTCTAAAGCAAAATCCATTATCTTCCTTCCAAGGCTATTCTTGTTGCTTAGAAGGCTCAAAAGACATAAAGGCTTGCTCAACAGGTTTGGCTTTAGCTGGTAAGTTCTTTTGTAAAGATTTGTGTGTTATACAAACCCAGCCTAATTCTTTTATCCTGCAAGTCAGACAGGTGGGTAGCCACAATCTGCTTTTTCTCCTGTTCTGGTATGAACAGGTTACACAAAACACTTCACCAAAAGAATAAAATGAAAGCTGAAAGGATTGGAAATATTTTAAGTGTAGCAGCAGGCAAGGGGAGAAAACAACAGATAGCTGGTTAGCAGCAGAGGTAAAAAATCACTGCAGAGGACTATGAAGGGGCAGACAGGAGGTTCACATGTGAGAGGAGACAAAAAAGGGAGGAGACAGAGCTGAATATTCCAAAAAAAAAAAAAAAAAAAAGAAAAGAATGGTCTTAACCAGACTTGAGATGGAGATCACCAAGATGCTCATGTGGAAGGTGCTCTCTTCAGCAGCACACAGCTGTCAGCTTTCCTGGCCATGCATTATCAGCCACACTTTGCTATTTGTTAAAGACAGAATCTTCTCTGCCTATTAGCTTGGATTGAATTTTATTCAGAGCACGTCAGAAATAAGGGATTTTATCTTTTTTCTTTCTTTTTTTCCCCCTGGGTCACACCTTTAAGAGAACAGTCATGGAAAGAAGGCAACTATTTCCAGAGAAAACAGCTTCTTCCTGAAAGTGACACACGTCCACAAAAGCAACCTGATGTTAGCCTCCTCTATCAGGAATTAAGAAACACACATAATTCTGTCAATCTGTAAAGGTCTTTAGGCATTTAAAAAAAATTGCCTTTACCCTTTTTTCTGCTTTGATCCGACATTAATGAACTGGCTAAGAAGTGACACCTAGTCTGCCCGCTAAGATTAGCCTGTTAACATCTTCTTACTAAAGCTTCCCTCATATCCTCTTGCAAAGACATGAAAGTGCCACGAGACGATGCACTGGGAGCTCAGCGCAGCGCGTGTATCAAAAGGAGTTACAATAAAATCAGGCTGATTTCCCACAGGAGTCATGCAGTCACAAATACATGCAAACAGATTTTGATTAGCTCGACAGATGCTCACTCCTTCCCCCAAATGAATTTTACAATTAACATTTTTGTAAGCAAATTCCAAAGCCATTAAATGAGCCTGCAACAAGGCAGATCTCGGGGGTCCTCACTGAAAGACTTCCAAACAAATCGAAAGGACCTAAAGCAAAAATTCTATACTGAATTAAAAATCAAAGGCAGATGTTGTAACCTGGTTTCACCAATGAACCTGTATGAGTGACGAGGACCAAGAGCCAGGCACACAATCAACACTGCAGCAAAGACTTTAAAATGTTGCTAACATCCTTCTTGTCACAGGTTTTGTGTGCCCTGTCTGAGGCTGAGAAACAGGATATGAACAGTTTGCATACAAAGCTACGAGCTTGCTAACAGAGGCACACAGCTACCACAAAGTCACATCAACTGGCTTCAATGGGAGTCTGCAGTGATGGATCCTTTCGCAGGACAGACTTCAGATTTGCCTGGCAGAGCCAAAAGTTGGCCTGCAAGGTGCTCTGAATTGACTCCCAGTCGGTGCCGACTCAGCTAGCCTCAGAGCCATGCTCAGATCCACAAAGACTCTGGAATTACAGCACAAAGAGGTCTGCAGTGAGGCGTCCAAGCACTGAACTGCATTAAGTCTGTACTTCCGATGTTTCCCCTTCTATGTAGTTTAGCTTTTATTGTAAGGATGGTTTGAGAGAGCTTTAAACATCTTCCAAGAATTTTAGTTCTACGTTACCTTAAAACCAATCGCTGCTGTTACCATTTTGCACGTAGCACGTTCTAAAACATACCATGAGGTTGTAAGGGAAGACAGCTGCTATGATAAAGGCCAGCACTGAAAATTAAGAGATCTTCACTCAATACCACGCTGTTCTTTAAAGTCCTGATACAAATAAGAGCAGTCTGTGCTTTGGTTTATTACTACAATAGGTTGCATATACCTTTTTCCTATTTTGGTTTTTATTTGATGGAAAGGAGAGGAAGGGAAATGAGAGTAAATTGGGTGATGCTGAATTTGTCTCCATGAAGAAGCCTAATGTGAACAGCTACCTAGAATCCTCAGGGAAGGAACACACAAACATATATAAAGCTACTGGATATATTAATATTGACAACGGCCAAAGAAACCCATGTTCTCTGACCTTAAAAGCACCAAGAAACACCTCCACACTTTGGAGGACACCTTGTTTCCCAGAACACAAAGATTCTGGCTCTAACAGAAGCATTACTAGTGCTACAGCTTGACCTCTCAAAGGCACGCAGTCCTATTTCTGCTGTGTAGGGTCGTACACCAAAGATGACTCCATAAGAACATGAGGTAACTTCTGAAACAGCTGGAATCTTTAACACAGTGAGGGACTGCACTGTTGCTTCTTAAGTCAGAATTCTCTTGATGTGGCAGCATGAATCTGTACCCCATGGAAGGTTTGACAAAACCCCAAAACCATGGTGAAGGTAGAAGTTATCTGAGTGACTGTACGTGTATTCTGCCCACGAAACAACACTGCAACAGCAGAGAAAAAAAAAGCTGAGAATACCCAGCCACCTCTCAGTGTAGGTGAACTGCATGCTTGAGCTACGTAAGCAGTCTTTTCCTTGCAATGCATTGGAAAACACTGGGCTAAATCTGGGTTTCAGCTATACTGACAAATGTGGTGCCTCTGGTCTGGTCCTCAGTTTCCCAGTGCACATCTGTCATCGTGCCCAGTCTGATCATGTCCCACACAGAAGAGGTTAATAGTATGTTAAGAGAAGGACTGATGAAGAAAAACATAAATAATACCCTATGGAAACAAAAGATACTGTGTTTGGGCATAAAAAGATGGTAGAAATTATAGGCTATGTGTCCTTCGGGTTTTCACTTTCAAAGGGCAGAAAAAAGACCGGGATAGACAAAAAGGACAGTTTGCATCTGAATTGCTCTTAGCAAAATAAGGAATATTTCCAAACCTTCTGTGGCCTTCAACCCAAAGGAACTTACTTCACAGACAATATGCAGATAAAACCTCTATCCTTCAGATTATATTGCACAAGGCGATACAAATAAGGGAATTTTGGGCACAGCTGTGAGTGGACACCTACTGCCTTGCAAAACATCTTCCAAGGCTCACAAAGAACACTCAAAACTCCAGTAATGATAACAATTATTATTATCTCTAGTCACACAATTACAAGCACTGGTATCCCTAGGAGCACTTACTGTCTAAAATTATTGCACACTTTTGGCATAAATCTAAGACCTTTCTGCGCGAGATGGAATAGGAGGGAGAGCTGCACCTACCTGGTAAAACTTGCATTTTTCCATGAAACGTGGAGTCTAGGAAGTCACACAGCCAGGAGAGCCACCAGAGTTCTCAATAAGGGAGCCACAATAGTCCAGTTCAAAAGCAGGTCTGATGTCCTGAAGCAAGCAAAAGCCCTTCCATCTGAGTTCCAGTGTCAAGAGTGACCGAGAAGCGGATGGGACTCCAAGCACAGCTAGCCAAGGTGAGTTCCTGTTTTATGGAGGCTAATGAGCAGGGAGGAGCTTCTCGCCAGGGCTGTCCCCTTGCAATCCTTTGATGTCCGAAGGGACAAAGAGAGGAAGGATCTGCAGCAATGGCTGGGGCTAAGGGAAGAAAATCAAAGAGAATTAACATGGCTTTGACATACAGGAAACCCTACAGGGGAAATGCACCTTGATTTACTGCTAACACACTTCTAAACAAATAGACTAAAATCACTACTGGAAGACTTACCTACAAATAAATAAATACCTAAAAGCCCTTTAAACAGTAAGGAAATAATTCTGTCTGGCTATTGCAAGGATTTGATACAACTCTCAAGTCCAGAGCACAGAACCCCTTTATATCAGATCAGGAAAGGTGTAAGAACCAGGAAGCTGTTTCCTTCCCGAGCGATTAACAGCTTGTGGAAAACTTAAGAGTTTGAGACCATCTCAAAACGGAGACGCTGCAGTAAGGTATGCATCCACCAGAAGATGCCTTCTCCACTAACAGAAGCGCATCAGGTAAGGCTAGCCAATCTCTCCATTCACAGCCTTTAACTACAGCTAAATTTCCTATTTTATCATTTTTCAGGCATGACTCTCACTGCTGCATCAGACGTCCTCAAGCTCGCAATTTATCTTTTCTGCAGCGCCTCGCCAATGAAAGCTGCATGGCTTTAACAGCACAGCTATGCTAGCACACCATTTTACTGGCACCAACCTCCTTCAGCTGGCACCTTCCAGGACTGGTGCAAGTGACCTAAAAATCTGAAGCGTGGATCAGGCACAGGTTTTATTTAGGCCTGCCCTTACTGAATGAAAGGCACAACCGGAGGACTGCAGTGCTTTCCCTTAATTAGTTTATTCTGCAAGTGTGACCATTAGCTTTTGTACTTACAAGTGCTTACAAGTGCTAAGACAGCAATCAAGCCTCATGCTTCAGGTCACAAACCAGCCACTACACCTCGGTGAAGAGGTGCATTCACGTATAGAAACAGCTATACTAACATTTATAGGTCAAATACAGAGTTCAAAAAGAGGAGGTCGAAAGCAGGATATCAGTCTCAATGGGCCAGAAGTGGATCCTGCACAACAAACTTAGGAGTTCCCTGCTTCATCTCGAAGAGCAGCACTCTGAGGCTGCAGCTGATTCATGGTCTTGTTTTGCTCAGAATAAAATAAGCACTTTTTATTCAGTTAATGACATTATTGGGACATCTGATTTTTAGACTGATGTGCAAAGCAATCTGAATTTGTTTGCAGTCAGTTCCTATAGAAAAACATCCCTTCAGTTCTGCATGTAGTGCTTCCTGGAGTAGGGAAAGCAACAACGTGCAATGAGGACAAAGAATTTATTCAGAGGATTTTCATTACGGCTCTTTTTCATCATTACTTTGAATTTCAGGCAGTACTGTGCAGGGAGTACAAGAAAGGCCACTGTTTATTGTGGCAAGAAAGAAGCTGGAGAGTTTGGTAAGTCCTGAGGAGTGTTTTATAGCTGCAGACGGTCCATTGGCTTCTGGCAACTTTGTGGGACCACATCCTCCAAAGGCCTTCCTGACCTCCCTTCTAAAGTACCAGGCAACACAGAAGATTGCAGGCTTTTCTTCAGCTAAATGCAAACCAGGGGTCTCAGTACCACTGAGGTGGAGGCTGTCGTGTAGTGGGGTCACATAACTCGTAGTTCAACTGAAGACTATTTATTACACATGTCAAAGGACAAATCGGAAGGAAAAAGATCAACTGTGAATGGTATTAAGGTCAAATCTCCTCTGCTGGTGCTCTCAGAGTCACTACCAGACACAAATGGAACAGGATGCAGAAATGCTTTTCTGCTCTGCCACAGAAGGGAAGCCAGCATCCAATCTGCTTCCCATGTCCTGCTTTTGCAATGCTAGTATTTTAACTGCAGAAAGCAGAAACAATGACTGTAATCAGAATCTGAAAAGGGAAAATGGATCAAAAATTGGGTCAGATTCAAGATACTATTAAGATGGATCACATCCCACACAGTCAGAAACCACACAGCAGCAGCAGCAGCACTGGGAATTTCAGACTTTACCTGACAGGAGCGTGGGATGTATCATGACTTACTGCTTCTTCCATGAAAAGGCATCAGATGGTCTCCTGCTGCCACTTCATTTGCACACTGCCTATCAACATGTCTGGAGAACACACATTTGCTGCAAGCACTCAAATCCTTTTGTCTTTTCCCAGCTGATTGATGGGGAAGGTGGAGCCATTAATTACCCATGACTAGTTAAGAACTAGCTATTTCCCAGCCCTTCTAGTTGCACTGGAGAGGTTTTAAAAGTGAAAAAAAGTAAATTTGTTATTATTCCTGGAAAGCATGGCTAAAGGAGTAATCTCCGTGAAATTCATTACCCGCCAAAGGGGAATTTAGCACATCACTCTCCTGTCTGTCTGTCCTTAGACACAGAATGCCTTGGGCTGTTTGCTGGGAAGTCAGAGGTGAATGGTGTCTAACAATTCATTGGCAAATTGGAGGGCTGGGGGAGGAAAGGGAAGGCAGAGAGAGCGGACATGGGATGCACGATGTCCACAGTGAGAAGTCAGCGATGTACAGCTCTGCTCAAAGCTCACTGCAAGCAGCAGGTAAAAATCCTGCACTGCCTAGCTCTAACAGGAGGTTCTGCTGTGCTGAAGAGGATGAGCTAGGGCAGCGCAGAGGGAGAGGATGAGTGATGACAAAAGCAGAAGCCAAGAGCTTTTGCTTTGCACCTCTTTGAGGAGGTGATAGGAAAGAAACATTCCCCTCTGTGTTTTGTAATAAGGCAAATGTTTTCTGGCAGTTCTCCTGCATGTGAAGCATTAACCCTTAGCACTCCTTCCCCCATTTCTCCCTTCTGAACTGTGAGCCCTTTGAGATGAGGTGATCTCTTTGCCTGGTTGGCTGGTGACGGGAGCTCTCAAGCCACAGAAGATCATGTGTGCCAGCTGGGGGGAGGCTCTGGTTATTGGGATCTGAGTCTGCAGGTGGCTGCACCAGCTCCATCCAGCAGAATTTCTAGGACACCATTCTGGCCTAAGAACAGGATCAAGCACAAGGTGTAAAAGTTACTGTCAGGCAGTCAGTTGAACTCAATGATCTTTATGGGCCTCTTCCAGCGTGGGACATGAATGATTCCAAGAGAAGCAGTGTTGTTTGCCTGAGTTTGTACAAGCCAGAAAAATTAACACAGGGAAGTGCTAACTACATTTAAGAAGTACTTCCCTCTGAAGCATGAGGATAGCCTTACTGTCATTTAAATGCAACTCGGCAGATTTTCACCTGGTGTAGGTAGGCCACAGCATCAGAGCATCTTGGCAACTCTTTATGAAGGACACTGCCATCTGATCTGCAGAGGATGAACACTGAAAATGTAGAAAGTGTGTCATTAACAGGACTCAGAATCAAATAAATAGATAGCTACCTATTTTCATACTTAAAAAACAAGAAGCAGCCTTAAACTCTCCAGTTGGCTTTAGAGCCCACCAGTCTGTCCCTCAGATACAGGTTTAACGTGTACAGAGCAAATGGCCTGGCTATGCACAGGGAGGGCTGTAGGGAAAAGCAGTGTTTATCCAGAGGAAAAAAAACTGATGGAAGTATTGCTGCTAGGCTGTGCCAGCCTAAGAGTGCAACTGCCTGTCCTTGTTACTGACCGACTTCAGCTTCCACAGCACAGCATCTTCTCACGGTGGCAGATGGTTCAAATGAGTTTTTCCTGGTAAAAGTTGCTTGGTGTCTTCATGTGTTACACTGCATTTGTGTTCAGCCATTCCTCTCCCAGGACCCCAGCAAGAGGCCCCACAGCAGACTGACCTTTGTAAGGCCGAAAGTCCCATGCTGAGTCCCACGCTGTATTACCCCCAAATCTTCCCTGTGCTCTCAGAAAGCAAAATCACATTTGGTAAAACAAAACAGTTGGTTGGAGAGGACCTGTTGGTAGCAGCTGAACGCGAATTCACAACAGGCATCTGGACACAGTGTGCTGCAGGGACGGCTGCTTGCCCATGCCCCTGAGCAGGGATGGGGATCTCTTTTGGAAGGGAACATGTGAAAGTGGCCCATGCAAATGAAAAGTAGTGCATTAGATGTTCAACACAGGCTTTTCCTCTTGCAGGTTTGTGGATTGAGGTATCTGGCCACAAAGCTGTGGCTCCTGAACTAAAACGATGCTCTTCTGTCTCCCCTTTATCACATCCGCCCTCCCCAGCTGTCCTAGAATATGCACCCAGCAGTTAGTTAGCATTGAGACAAGAAGGGAAATGCTTAACAGCCACTTAACACTGAAGGCTGAGTTTGGCCTCAAAGGCTGCAGTCCAGAGTCAAATGCAAAGCATATCTGTCTGGAGCTCTTTCAAGTTTTCACAGGCTCCTGATGTTAGGTGCACTGCTTTCCTGTCGGCCCATTGTGCTTCCCAGACACAGCTCAGCACTCTGTCCCACTCAAATCCACAAAAAAAGCACATTCAGTCAGCAAGGACTCTGCAGTGCTCTGCAGTGCAGCAAAGCGCCACCCAGCACAATGCCGATGGTGCTGTGGGTCCTCTTCTGCCCCGGGGAAGGCTCTATCCTCACACACCTGGGGTCCTGCAAGGAGGCATGGAGGGTCTGCCTCAGGAGCAGGCAGCAAGCAGTTCAGGGCAAACACTGTGCATCGGTATTTTTACATGGATACACATTGTGCGTGCAGGAAAAAGAAGAGAAACATTATGCAGAGCTTAAGAACTGCTGGCAGTTCAATTTAACCATGAATCGAGGTCAGAAAAAATTCCTGAGCAGGATGGATTGTGCTGAACAGAACTTCAGCAACCTGA